AAACGAATGGCCTAGAGGAGAAGAATCGAAGAATCCAGCCTGATTTTCAGGACAGAATTAAGATCACTTAATTGAGGATAAAAATATTAAATAAGTCTTTTGAATCAGTGAATTATCAGAAGATAGTGTCTACCGCCTGACATGTTTTTAGATTCTAAGGTGTGCTTAGTGTTCTCTAATGCACACTTACTATGTTACTGTTTAGAAGATTAGAGAAGCAATGTGAAAATGAGTAAATATTAGAAGTCTTCAGATTATAACACATTCCAATCTCAATTTTCTACTGTTTTGCCCATGAATATTTTATTAAAACATATTATATATCTATATAAATAACTATTTTTTCTGAAAAAGATTGAAGACAAATGAAATATATGGAAGGATAGCCCATTGGCCTGTATTCTTTCAATTATGATAAACATCTAAGCATATATCTATACATATATAAGCCTTGAACAATTCACCATCAATAATGAATATATTTATATGGATTTTAAATGAGCCAGTAGTCAGTTAGCATATTCACCCTGATTAAAAAGATATAATGAATTTAGAACAGGCTCTTTATTTATCAGGCTTAAATGCACTTAGCACATTACCATTTTGAGTGAGATTAAAAATTGAAGTATATTCTATACTTTATACTTAGACATTTAAAAATATAGTTTGTATTTTCTCTAAAAGTATAAATCACGTTATGGTTTATGACCTGATTAGAGAAAATGAATTCTCAAAAAATTTATTCACATTCCTCTTCAAGAAACACAATTTCTGTTTTTAAACCTAAAATAAGGTATTATTGATTATGGCTCCATAGCCTATAAAGATCAGAGTGAAACACCAACAAATCAATTTTTATGATTCTCTCTCATGTTAAAAAACAAAACAAAACAGAGAAACAACTCCTTCTCCTAAGAAGCACACAATATGAAATCTAAGGGTCTTCTTTGACACTTAATTCTGAGAGTTTCAACTAAGTCTTCTGGGAAGAGTTTTCTCTCTCACTAATTTGCTTCATACGAGAGCCAAAACTTTCTTCCTAGTCAACTGCTCCAATATCTCTACCTCCAGGTCAAAACTCTTCAGTGACTCCCTGCTAAAATAGTAACTGAGACCTCCCTCAACCTTTCCTGGACTGCCCTCAGTGTGTCCCACTTCCCCTCCATGCCTACCCTGAGCTCCTGGAAGCTGGGTCCCTCCTCGTTCCCAGACATGGCCTTTCCCCTAAACCTCTGCTTCCCTCATTATCTCCCTGGACCCTCTGTTTGGAATGACCTTTATTCTTCACCCACCATACACTATCAACATGCCACTCATCCCTGATCCAGCTCAAACTCCCTGCTTCCTAAGTCTTCCTGAACTTAAACCCATCCCTCCTACTTCCCACTGCCCTTTCTCATTCCTGTGGTACTTATATGTTTATTTGGGTCTTATGTGTTTTATTGCACAGATGCCTTCCTGCAGTATATGCAACTCTTCAAGTCTGCGTCCCTCCTGCCACCCACCAACCCCGACCCTGACGGCACATAGCACAGTGGTTACACAAAATGGCCTCTTGATTCTTGCTTTGGGGATGATATATACTTAATAGTTACTCACTGTGGCAATATAACAAACTCTTAGGAGCTCAGGCTTTAGTATGATACCACCTAAATTCAAATCCTGTCTCCATTACTTACTAGCTACAGGATCCTTTCGGTGCTTCAGTATCCGTATTTGTAAATGGGCATAGTATAAAGCCTGCCTCATCCAGTCCTTAGAGAATTGATGATTCAGCACATGCTAAGTGCATGGCACAGAACTTGCTAGTTCACTATTCTATTGTAAGCATCACTCAAGAGAGATTAAAGAAAAAAAAAAAAACCTAGATCTAAATAAGTAGGTTAAAACACATCCTCTAAATCACAAGTTAGAATTATTTGAAAATAGAATGATTCATGAAACAACTTACAGCTTATACTTTGCCAGTTAAATTGAGGGTTACGGCAATTTTAAGATCATATTTATAACTAATATTAGACAGAGAATCAATTCATTTGGAGAGGGAATGTAGCAGGTGGATCACTGAATTTCAGGAAGAGCCCACATAGATACACTAGAAGATGTGATCACTTCCCCAAATTATCAGTCAGGAATTGGAGATGAATCTGGATGGAAACAGAGTGAACAGCAGCAACCGAAGCACCTTATTGAGTGTACCATGCCAGGGACCCCCGAAGTCCTTGAGAGGAGTGGACCAGGCTGTGCTGCTTTACAAGGTGGAGACCTTGCAGATCAGGGGTTATTCCTGGAAGTACACAGCACTTTTATATTAGAAACAAACACATCATGTGGAACAAATCAAGCACTTCCTGGCCTGAAACGCTTTGTGGCTTTCCATCCCTCACTATGAAAAAGTCAAAGTACTTCAATCTTTTTCACTTTCACATCCGCCAGGGTCCTCTCCAGCTCCACCCTACCCCTGTGTCCTTTCCTGTTCGCCACCAGGCACACTTGATCAATCTATACTGGCTGCCCGGCCATCGCTGGAATTTGACAGTCAAGGTCCTGCCTCACAGCCCTTGAACTTGAGAATTTCCTGCCTGGGAGGGATTTCTCAGATATCCACAAGGCTCTCTCCCTTACCTCCTTAAGTTCTCACTCAAATGCCCCCTTTTTCATGAGGCCCTCCCTGGCTAGCAGCTGGAAAAAAGTGCCCTTCCCCACACATATTCCCGGCAATCCTCTCCCTCTTTACTTTTCACCATCTAACATTCTGTATATTGCTTTTGTTTTGTTTATGCATTGTTTCCTGCTATTTTAATAAAAGCTCCAAGTGAGAAGGGAGCCTCCCTCTGGTCGTTATTAGAGCTCTATCACCTAAAGCACTGCCTGGCACAAAGTGGACACTTGATGAACATCTGTGGAACAAATGAATGAACAACAGATCATAAGGCAGCTTATGACCAATCTGAAAAAAAGTCCCAATGGAGGACTCCTTGCATTTAAGCCAGGTCGTTCATGAGACATTCTACTTTGTATTTTGAAAGATATGTTTTGAAAAATGCATTAGTTTAGGTCAGCGGTTCTTGACTGGAAGTGATCTCTACACCCTCAGAATATCTGGCAACATCTACATACACATTTGGCTGTCACAGCAGGAATGTGGGCAGGCGTTACTGTCATCTAGTGTGTAGAGGTCAGGGAGACGGCTGGACACGCTACAATGCACAGGGCAGCTCCATATAACAAAGAGTGTCCTGGCTCAAAGTATCAACAGTGCCAAGATTGAGAAACTCTGATTAAGCTGGAGGTAATTTCTTAGATCTTCTGGGGAAGGAAGGAGAGATGGAAGGAGAGAGAAGGAGGAAGGAAAGGAAGACGGGGGAAAGAGGAAGGAGGAAGGGAGGAGAGGAAGGAGAGAAAAAGGAAGAACCACTAACCTAAGCTAATGCTTTTTACAAACCAGATCCTTCAAAATACAAGGTAGAATGTTTTGTGAAAGCCTACTTTAAATGCAAGCCACCACACACCTTGACTTTCTTTAGGTTGGCTACAAGGAGGGAAGAGGAGAAAGACAGAAGGGGGGAAGGGTTTGGGGAAAGGAAGGCAGGCAGGCAAGCTAAGTCAATTGTTGGTACTACAGAAAGACCAAACACACAAAACTTTTATGTACAAAACAGAGGGGAGTTTAAAAAAAAAATAAAAAATAAAAAATAAAAAAAAATAAAAAAAGGTCATGTTCACCAAGCAAGGAATAAAAAAAGTGAGATGAGAAAACTGTCAAGGAGAGAATTTGCTTCTAGTCCTCCAGACCTCTCTAAAGTGTCCCCCACATTCTGGTTACATGTATTCTCACGGGAATAACTGACAAAGTTGTAATAAAAAAGCGGGGGAAATCCCAAATTGCCATCTCCTCTCTGAGAGCTGCTTGACTGGTGCCGATGGCTCAGAGCATGTGGCAGGAGCCAGCCATACCAGGGAGCAGATGCTCCAGACAGGCTCTCTGAGTAACATCAGGGATATGAGAACTCGGGGAGAAATTAACCAAGCCCGCAAACACAGAAGAAAAGATATTAAGAAGTACAGCATTCCTCCCTCTGCAAACATCATGCAAGTTAGGCTAATCTCATGGTTAAATTACAGAGTGCCCCATCCACAAAAATCCACAGATAGCTTGGGAAAAATAAGTCTTTGGGAAGAATAAAGTCTCATTGGCTGATAAAGTCATAATAAGCCTAAAACAAATTGTGTTAATGGTTGGATGAAAAACTGGAATTCTCGCTTCTCAAAGAGTACATTTGGTACACACATTGCTGTCTAATTAAGAGATGAATTCACTCTCCCGTTTCCCGCCCCCCCCCACGCCCCCCACCCCCATCATGTAAAGGCATTCTTTGGTGCTTTCTCTTCTGAATTTTGTATTTTTCCCTTCACTGACCCTGGTGCATTATCTTTTAGTTGGACTGCCAAAACACTTTTCCTTCTCCAAGAAAGGCTCTCTCCTTTCTTCCACAGAGCATTTTTTAATTCTGAAACTGAAAGCAAACATGACTACTAAAAAGACAAATAGAACTTTGGGGAAAATGGTCTTTAGAAGAACTGAGAACAAATGTGCAGTTACCAACAATTAATCTTTGAAGAAATGTACAGTCAGAATGTATAAAGAAATACATGTGTGTTTTTCATTAATACATAGAAATTCAGTCATTGATCTATATTTCTTGTAACCAAAGACAAATTCCTACCTTAAGATGGAAAGAATGAAAATGAATTGAAAAACTAGTCAAAATGTTTTGGTTGGTTAAATCAATATTGGACTGAAACAGAAAAAAATTATATCCCTGTATATCTGAAACTACTGAAAATATCAGATAAGAATGAGGAATAAAACAGTCGTTTCCTGCTATAGTTAGGAGGATTTTTTCCCCCAGGTTGACAAAGATAAAGCAACTCTAGACCATAGAAATTCATCAACTATAAAATGACTCACAAATTGTTTATTAATAAAGGAAACTTACGGACAGCAAGGGAATGGCAACTTTTCCAAGAAAATCTGGGGGTTTATCTCCATCTTCATCAAACACTGTCACTTCCAAAACATCATGGATATCTTTAATGGGACTGTAACAAAAATACCATGTATCATGTATTATACACAAAAACACATAAGTGAAGTCTGTTCCATGAAGATCTGGAAACACTGTTTCACTAATTAAGTCTGTATGTCCTTAGAGTATAAAACTACCATTTAATTAAATTCCAAAAATTAAATCAAACTGACTGTATTCCCAAACCTTCCATCATAGAAGATTCAGACATCCATATGAAAAAAAGAAGTCAACTTTTTTACTATGACATTTTTTCAAACAGTATACCTGTACTCAAGGGTAGGACTTTCAAAGAAACTAAAGAAAGAATAGGGAGAAAGCATTAGCAGTGTCCAACCAAAGTGATTTTTAAAAAGCTTCCAAATGAAATTAGTTAACATTTTTTAAAATTAAGAATTACCTTTAAAATAAAATGGTGATGAAAAATCACTATTTGCTGAAATGCATAGAAAGCCTCTGTTGTTGAAACACAAAATACTACAAATATTTTAAAACTTTTTTTTTTTTAATATTTACCAGAAGCCAGATACCAGGGATAATGAAAAATGGAGCCATGGTGATTGGCAATGAGTTAGGGAAATAAGAGACTCTTACACCGGGCCATTGGCAAAGGTGTAGCAGAGTTAATCCACTTTTCATAGAGCCTTGGGAACTTTCTACTAATAGCATTAATTCTTCTCAAAATGAACTTTATTTTTTCACTTATAAGCACAGGACAGAGCACTGATTTAGCTTCGTGGGGGCAGTATATCACCATTTCACCCAAATTCAACAGGGGCCTCCCCTCAATGTTCAGGTGCCTTGAAATCTAAAGCAAACTAAGATCTTAAATATATCCAGCCTCCTAAATGCCTGGGTTTGATAGTGCTGGCAGAGAATCACTGTGGGATGGGTCACTCATATAAACTGGAATATAAGGAACCTTTGGGAGTCTCTAAGGAGTCACAGAAAATCTGCATTTTCCTAAAGATTTTGGCAGAATACAAGGCTCTGGCATTAACATGATTTTAGAACACATAAGATCCTTGAATTTAAGGCAGGTCTCCATTTCCTTAACCCAAGAATGAATTAATCTAGAAATATGGAAGCTTCCATTTACTCATAGATTAATTCAGTCACTAAAAGATCTACTTTAGAAATGCCTCCTATAACAGTCCCTTGCAGTTCCAAACGGTCTCTTCTATTATTAACACCACACACTATAAAATGAAAGGATAAAATGTTTTCAAAAGAAAAAACAATAAAATTTACTCTTTGCCCATAAAAATGGACAGAAAATTCCACTCAAGAGCCCCAGACTACCTTCCAAGCATAGCAGAAATAATTTCAGAGGTTAAAGCACTTACAATGTAAAAACTTTGTTCCATTCAGGGTTGAGGTTTTTGTAGACGGTATGCGTCTGAAGTCGGTCATTGCCTAACTCCAATAAGCAAAATGGGTCACTCTTCCCTGGAAAGGTAACATACACATTGGTCAAAGACAACTGAATCTCACAAGGGACCAGGGCAATGTGAACAAGAGTCAGATAAAGTTGTGCTTGCTGAAAGAGGGAACAAAAGACTCCTTTTCCAACGAGTCATGGAGGCCCTGTGTGGGAATCCAGGAGACAGGCAGAGGCTACAAGTGTTGTACCTTTAGCATACTTAACGGGTTAGAACAAACACACCACGTGATATGATATGGTTGTGTCCCCACCCGAATCTCATCTTGAATTGTAGCTCCCATAATTCCCATGTGCTGTGGGAGGGACCTGGTGGGAGGTAATTGAATCATGGGGGTCGTTTCCCCCATACTGTTCTCGTGGTAGTAAGTCTCATGAGATCTAATGGTTTTAGAAGTGGTTCTTCTTTCACTTGATTCTCATTCCCTTTTGCCCGTTGCCATGTAAGACATGATTTTCGCCTTCTGCCATGATTGTGAGGCCTCCCCAGCCATGTGGAACTGTGAGTCCATTAAACCACTTTTTCTTTATAAATTACCCAGCCTCAGGTATACCTTTACCAGCAACGTGAAAACGGACAAAGATCAGGCCTTGAAAGCCAGTGGTCACACACATTTCACAGGAGTGGGAATCCGTTTGGCATGAGAGCCCATTTCTTTGTTTTTAAAATGAAGTTCATCTCTGTTTCCTTCCTAAATTCTAAGTCAAACTGTATAATTACAATTCTATAACTGGAAACCTATAACTTACAGGCTTCTACATGGCTATAAGAGGAAGTGAGAAGCCGGGCGCGGTGGCTCAAGCCTGTAATCCCAGCACTTTGGGAGGCCGAGACGGGCGGATCACGAAGTCAGGAGATCGAGACCATCCTGGCTAACACGGTGAAACCCCGTCTCTACTAAAAAATACAAAAAACTAGCCGGGTGAGTTGGCGGGCGCCTGTAGTCCCAGCTACTCGGGAGGCTGAGGCAGGAGAATGGCGTGAACCCGGGAGGCGGAGCTTGCAGTGAGTTGAGATCCGGCCACTGCACTCCAGCCCGGGCGACAGAGCGAGACTCCGTCTCAAAAAAAACAAAACAAAACAAAACAAAAAAGAGGAAGTGAGAAAAAGTGTAAAACTGGTTCTTTAGGAGTTAAGCTCTGCTCCTAAGCAAATGGCCACAAACACTCATGATCCTGTATACTCAGTACATTATGAGAAGACATGAGTTATATTTTTGGTGTCATAAAACAAACAAACAAAAAAGTATAACTCAATAAAAGTCAGAGTTTTTAACTTAACAAAAAAACTAAGCTCATCTTTCACTTCTCACCTCTTCTCTTTCCACTCTATCTCCCATATTTGCACACCAAAAAAGGTAAGAAATTTCCAAATCCAAAGTTAGACCTACAGTGTTACGAAGCAAAAACCTCACTTCCCTTTTGTTGTGTTTGGCGGAAGGATGTGGAATTGGAACTGTCAGAGAAAGAATGAATGGCTCCATAATGTTCATAGGACATTAATGCATTGCCGGCCTCTGCAGCACACTGGCACTTTACAAAGCAGCGCTTGCTAAATTAATTGGGGGCACAAGGACAGATGCTGTTCCAACAAATGGCCAAGGAGTCCCAGACCAGGGCCGAAGCCAGAGAGTGCTCAGGCCTCTTGACCCGCTGGCCTACCATTCAGGTCACTGAACTTCCATCTAATTCGCTTAATAACCAGGCGCTCTGAGGTACAGCACATCAATAGAGATACTGATACGTGCAGGAGCCTGCATGAAGATTATTGTTTAAAAAGGGAGGAGGAGAAGAGCAGACACATGGCTGATGATTTGTATTAAACAGGAGATTCCGCTCAACTGTCTAGTGGCCTGGACACTTAGATCCCTGGCCAAAGCTTTTAAGTCAATGCTACTATTTCAGTTACTAGCAGACAATGATCAAGCCAGACATAAAGGAATGAGTGAGGGTTTTCGACTGTAAACAATGGAAATGGTCCCTGTCTACATGTAGCAGAAAAGAAATTTATAAAATAATATCAAAAAGCATTCAGAATTCCTACAAAGTTTGGAGAATCAGGCTAAAAAATATCACTATAAACCAAAGAATACTTCAGCACAAGAAACTCAGCCCATATCTCACACCCAGGAAAAGTCTGTTGTGGCCTCTGCTTCCCCAGAATACTGCCGCCACAATTCACTTCCAATATGAATTCTCTACTCCTGCTTCTTTGCCTCACTTAAGGCCAATGCAAGGGCCTCCGGAGCCTGTCTTTCATAGCCAAGTACCCAGACCTGAAAGGCCAGAATCACAAAGGGAATACTGCATTGGTAGCCTCTGTGAATGAAAGTGGGCTCTGATCTCTTCTTCAACATAGACAATGGGAAATGATTCAAACACGGAAGGGGTTTCAGATGCTGGGGAGTCAAAATCAAACTAACATAAAAATTCATCTGCACCCACAAAAAGTCTTGTTTACTGAAAGACAGTTTACTCTGGCCATGTGGTTTGCAGGGGAAGAGGCTGGAGTTAGCTGGGAAAAAGCCTACCAATATAGAAAAACACCATTTCCCCTTCAGCAATTGTGAACAAGAAGACACCACGTACTTTTGGCTTAATGCTCAGGTATACCATGCTTGATTTCTCAACCCAGGCTGAAACAGCTACTTAACCGTTTGTCAGACTATTAGTAGGTGTCAGCGCTGCTCCTCTGGAGACACCAGCATGACACGCCATCAGCAGTTGCTCCAGGGAAACCGTCTGACACTTTTAATGAAAACCCTGGGGTTACTCCACAGCAGGGCAGAGATGCTGCCTGGTCCTGTTGAGGCACAGGTGGGCTCGTTCTGTGGCTCCCGCTCTCTCAAGCAAGCACGCTCTTAGCTGTCCCAGCTAATGAGGAACAGACTTTCCTTCAGAAACCAGGAACTTCAGTTATGTGTCTCCAAGGGACACATTGTACCAACTCTCTGAAGATAATTCAGTCAAAGCTCATTAAAATGCTGCATTTATTAATATTACAGAATACACAGAGAGAAGCAAGAAGAAACAAAGACATTAAAATGTTTACAGAGTAATTTACGCACACTTTAAGGATGGATTTCTCTTAAAAAGTTTCAGATGCATGGGGACTTTGAGTAAAATTTAAATAACAAATATTCTTATTTGAGATAACAAGTATCTTTCATGATAAAGGAAATGTCCAAATGCTCACCAATGGTACTGAGAGAAAACGACAAGGCAGAGTGACATACATGCATTTGAGGCTGTACTTTTCCTCTTTGTATCACGCATTTCACAGGAAAAACATCTAGAAGACCTCCTCTGTGTCCAGATGCCACATCACCTTGACACATTTATGCCACCGACAACTCAGTTTCAAATTGAGGTTTAGCACTTTGCACTCAATAGCCTTTGCTATTTTCCAACATTGCTTTAAAATTTATTTGTATTTCTTGAATGGCAAGTAAGGAAGGTTCACTTAAACAGCTTTACCTTTGTATCAATTACAGAAGTTGAATGACAAATAATAAATGTGTTGCAATAGTCATATCATTCATTTGATAACCTTTTTTTTTTTTTTTTTTTAAATGGAGTCTCGCTCTGTTGCCTAGGCTAGAGTGAAGTGGTGTGATTTGGTTCACTGCAGTCTCTGCCTCCTAGGTTCCAGCAGTTCTCCCTCCTCAGCCTCCTGGGTAGCTGGGATTATAGGCATGCGCCACCATGCCCAGCTAATTTTTGTCTTTTTAGTGGAGACAGGGTTTCACCATGTTGGTCAGGCTGGTCTCAAACTCCTGACCTCAGGTGATCCACCCGCCTCAGCCTCCCAAAGTGCTAGAATTACAGGCATTAGCCACCATGCCCAGCCCATTTGATAACCATTTATTAAGCATATAGCTTAATAAATGTTCCTAGCACTAAACTGACCCTGACATACAATGATCACCTAAGCTATTACCTGCAAGGGACTCTCATAATGGTCTCTGCTATTCTGAAAATGCTGCCTTTTCCAAGAAAACTTTCCTCACTCTCATCCCACAGCAGACTGAGTTGTTTCCATTTCAGATCTCCAATTGTGTATTGCCCTTACTTCTCTTATATCCCACATTTGTAAATTTCCACTCCACAGTCAAGATGTGTATTCACTTAAGGGTCCTGATGCAGGCACACCCAATATATGAATGCTCTTATCATCCCCCAAGAAGAGTGCCATGGCCTAGGGACAGAGGGCAGCGGTGAAATGCAGATGAGAATATGAAAGTTCAGAGAAATGTAATTCGGTTCAGAAAAGTTCAGAAAGATTTCTTAGTGGGGGGTGATTCTTAATCGAGGTTTACAAGGGGGGTGTTTGATAAGCAGAAATGGATAAGTACTTCTTGTGGAGATGGGACAGGTCAAAGCATTAAATTTATTAGGAAGAGATATATCTCATATATATATATTTTTATATATATATATATCTTCCTAATAAAAAATGAGATACATATGTATCTCGTATATATGATATATATGTAAGTCTCATATGTCTCATATATATGATACATATGTATCTCATATATATGAGATACATATGTATCAATCATAGCTCATGGTACTGTAACTTCGAATTCCTGGGATCAAGCAATCCTCCTACCTCAGCTTCTACGACTAGCTAGGACTACAAGGACATGCCACCACTGTTGGTTAATTTAATTTTTTTTTTCTTTTTTTGGTAGATACCAGGTTTCATCATGTTGACCAGTCTGGTCTGGAACCCCTGGGCTCAAGCAATCCTCCCTCCTTGTCCTCTTAAAGTGTTGAAATTACGGGTGCGAGTCACTGTGCTTGGCCCTAAATGTTTTCTTCTTGTAACTCCACTTCCCCGCCACTTCTCAGGCCCCCCAACAATATCATCATTCACTGATCTTGTCTAACATCTTCCCATTTTCATTCTTCCCTCAAAACCTTTGCTCCTCACAGCTGCCAGAATAAACCTTTGTAAGTTTATATCAGATCATATCATTCCCTTAATAGTTTTCCAAATTTG